GAGTGCTTTGCCGATCCAGAGAATCGTTTTTCGATCGAACGTTTGTAATCTCGTGACGAGAAAAAGACTCGTATCTTCCTCTTCGAAGCGAAGCGGTTGTACGTGGGCAGAGGGACAATGACCGACTTTGGGCGTAAATAATCCTCCTCCCATTTCATATTTTTCATTTTTATCCCTCCCTGTTATTATTATTAATTCCTTCTCATATTCTATCAAAAAGATCATTTTCTCTATCTCTTCTATTTCGCAAAACCCAGTATCCTAATTCATCGAACCAAGTTTCCAACGTGCAAAAATTCATACCTTCTTTCCAAACAACTCTCACCAACAACGTGGTGAAGCGTGTACAAAAATCGTTTGAAACTTGTGATAAAACGGATCCTCGCAGGCTAAAAGCTGCGAGAGCTTTAACGTCTCGATCGTTGTCGGGCGGAAGCGGGTGCCACGGCGCTCGATTCCCCTCGCATAACCCCGGTTGATTTACAACCAGAAACGCGTGGTATTGCGCGCAAGGGGATTTCGTGCCGGCATCCTCGAGCACGTCTCCGGTGCCCCTGGATTTGCATAAATCCCTCGGAAAACGCGGCGAGGGAGCCGCGAAATCGAAAGTCGAGGATCGGTTTCTAACCCAACGCATCGAGGGTATTCCCCGCGAGGGAGAAGGGCAAGGCCTGGCCGTTTTACGACGAGTAGAGGAGGCACGAAAGGTGGTTCCTCCGAGCCATCGAACGAGCCGTGGACGGGGGATTTATGGCGGACCAATGATCGTGGAATTTCTTGTTTTATTTATGGGCCGATGCACGGCCGACGATCGACTGGAAATATGTTTATTCCGGAATGGTCTACACCTGGTTGACTCTTAGGAATCGAATTCTGCCCTCCGGGGGTTGTTCTCGGAGGAGGAAGGCCTCGATTCTTCCAAGTATCATTCCTGAGCAATTGCTCGTACAGGGTGTTGAACTTTGGCCACCAGATTGGGTGTATATATAGCAGCGTGGGGTATGGTTTGAAGAGGTTTGAGAGAGGTGTATAAAGTGACGTTTCGGTGCTGTGCAATTTTCCAGAGAGCAAAGACTTAAAGTGTTGCAGAATTGGCTTTGCAATCGAATACTGTGAAGCAAAGAGGTTTGAAGGGAACTGTGAAACGATGGTTTCAATGTTGTGACGGTGGAATTCTTTAAAAAATTAGTTGAAATCTTGAGAATTGTCTGTTTGAAGAAAATATAAAATGATGGTTTCAATGGTTACGATGGTGGAATTCTTTAGAAATTAAAGTTGAAATTTTGGGGTAGATTAGTAGGTGCAATATAGACAATAGTTTAGAGAGGTTTGATAACATATAATGAAATTCTTTAGAAAATGAACGGTTTGAGGAAACTCTAAACTCTGTTTAATCGTGAACGTAGATTAAATGTAATGTAGGGTATGATTTAAGGAGATTAGAGTTGTCAGTTTGGAAAAGAATAATAAAGCGAATTGGATACAATGTATAAATCATGGTTTAGAAAAGTTTTAAAGTCGTCATTCTCAGAAAAATCAATAAAAAGGAAATTCTGTAATGTGAAATGAGTAAAAAAAAAAGAAAAAAAATATAAAAAAATAATAAACAGGCATTTTCTATAATTATAAAGGTAATATTAGCGGAATTACATTATATCTCGATATCTCTAATATAAAATTTAGATAGTCATAAATAATACTTTATACAAATGAGCGTATCTTTAACAATAATTAAATTCTTTTTTTTTTTTTTTTTTTTACTTAAAACATATTCCACGAGTTTAACCGTCGGAAATTTATCGACGGTTATATTTTAAACGATTATGTAAATGTACTGTTTTTCAATCAGTTTCTCATCGTACGCTTGTTTTAATTTTCTTACAAGCTGTTGCTCGGATTAGAGCAACGACACGGCCGTCGTTAAAAAAATGCTAAAAATTCACGCTTGGAATTTTTTCTTAAAAGCCACATTTACATTCTTTTAATGTTTATACGATTATTACACGGGGGAAGCATCATAATCGCTGTATTATTTCGATTGGTTAATAGCCGGGCATTAATTTGCTATTTACTCGTGTGTGTTGCGTTATAGCTGTCTGAAAACGCGTGAAAAGAAAAAAATAAAGAAAAAAACGAGAGAGGGAACCTATTAAACTCACAGATATTATGGATCTTTTACCACTATCTCGAACCTTCTCCACTGCATTAACATTCTTCACTTATTTCTTTGCTGATGCGTTTACTTTTTAAAGCAAACCCAATCCAAAATTTTATATATATATATTCCTTTCCTTATACACTTCCTTTGACTTCTCTTTGAATCCTTTTAAGCAATCGTAAAACATCTGAGACAAACGATTCAATCTCTTCGCTCTATTTATTATACTATTTATTCAAAACATATTATATTCTCTTCTTCCCTCTGGTTGTCCCCAATTATTTGTCCCGTGATTAAATCCTCCTCCAACCCAACAGACTTTGTAATTAAATCCTCAAAGTGTATCGATCGTCCCTTCGACGAGCGTGCCTTCGAGGAGCAAATCCGCTGCAGGAAAAGGGGCGACGATTGTAACACGGTGTCGAGATTAGACCAGCCGAGGCTTCGTTAGCGACCCATTGTGAGATGCGATCATTATGCGTCTTAGTTTGCATAAGTTCCTGATGGGAGCGTGGGTGGAGCACGCTGGAAAGTTGGATAAAGGAGGAGGAGGATACGTGGAACAGTAGGATAACTGTGAAAAGCTTTCGAACCTCGCACGATCTTTTTTTCTCGAATATTTGTCGCACCACGGCATCTTTCTTTCGTCATCATTGTTTGAATCTTAAATTTTACTCTCTTTCTTTTTTTTTTTTTTCTGATCATTCTGCAACATCACAGCGTGGATTATTTTCGAGGCAAATTGAAAGTCAAACTACTCGGAGGGTAACTTAAGTGGAAACTTGAAGAGTGAGGATAAAAAGAGAGAGAGAGAGAGAAAGAGACGGAGGCAGGAAGGGAGACGGCGTTCCAATCGTTTCCAACGAAACTGTTGCAGCGGCATCAACCGTGATTTCGACCCACGCCGCATTCGAGCCGTGCATACGTAATTCACGCGTTTTCGTTGGAAAAGTATCGGCCGGCCGTTATGCTAATACGAGGCCGTATGTCACTGACCACCTCCGCCGTGACCTCTTCGTTGAATAATGGGGGAGGAAGGAGACGAGGTTGTCGAAAGAGATTTCCTTCAAGTTCAATTGTTTTGCGGATATTATGGCGGAATTATCACAATTCTATATTGGATATTAAATTATAACAGTTTAATTTAACAAACGGCACGCGTTCGACTCGATTGAGTGAAGGGTACGAACGATCCTCGAACACGATCAACGAACTATTATTTTGACATTTCTTTTTATTGATTGGAATAAATCTGATTGGATTTATATTATATTAACCTTGATTTCTCGAGCAGGCTGCACGCTGTAATTTTTATGATTCACGGTTGGAGGGGTGTCGCACGCCATTTCAGATCTGACAGACTCTTCACAATAATTCGCGATAATTTACGATAAACGTCACTTGTCACTGAAGCTGATTGATTCGAATGAACACGTCCCACGACGATAATTCGTGAAACGAAACTAGAACGAAACTGACGCGAAACGCTTGGTCAGGCTCGAGCACGGCACAAATCGTGCGCTCCTTCCAATGCTCGGCTTCATTGTTGAACCGCCACTGCCACCTACAAACCATCCGTTACTTTCTTTCTCTGGGCCTCGGTTAAATCACCACCGTGCCTACTACAACCTGATTACATATGTACACACTCGGCTGCAGAGGTAAATAAGCAAACAAATGCGCCTTCTTATGTATGGTCGTCGTGCACAGGAAATCTCGAGAATGTTGCAAGCGATCTTTGATCTTGGTACTAGGGTTTTTTTTTTTTTTTAATTATAACGTGCAACGACATTTTGCGTATCGTATTTTTAACAGAGTTCCACGAAACAATTCTCGAATAAATTAAGACATTCGAGGCATCCCCTGGTTTCTCCACTACCTTCTCCTCCCCAGGTTGGCCGATCGTTTTGCAGAAGGGATAATCGTAAAACTCGTTAAAAAGGAGCGAGATGGGAATGTAAACGTTTCCATCGATCAAAGGGGCCGTTTATTAATCGGCCACATTCCTGGCCTCGATCTTGCGCAAGCCAAGTACTAGGCTTTAATCCACGCTGAGATCGAATTCCACGATAGCGATTCGCGCGCACGATCGATCATCGCGGCCGACGTGATCGATATATCGGCGATTCTATGCGGCCGCGGATATCTCGCGTTCCATTAAGCGCCACCAGCGCGCGCACGCACCAGTTTAATGAATTTTCTGGCCGGATATATCGGCCCCTCGCTTTTTCCACGGCCATCGTTTCGACGGTTCTCCTTGACTTGATTTATCGGCCACGGAGGAGAAAAGTTCCGAATGCTTGGTGGACGGGTTTGGAAATGCCGTCGTCTTAGCGGTCGTGTGTCTATTATTTGCAGATTTCTCTATCGAAATCGTTTTGTATCTGATAATAATGGAATCTGGTTCTCCGAACCAGTTACACGTACGTGAATTGTATTTTAATCGCGTGATGGATGCGAGATAGGGATAATTGAATAGGACGCGGCGATGTAAATGAAGTTAGAGAGGAAAAAGAAAAAGAAAAAAATGAGGGGAAAGAGTGGAAAGTTTCGTTGTAGACTGTACTATTTATAATGAGATAGGAATTTTTGATTCGTATATACCGGATTGGATGTAAGAGTGCTTGCGAGAAACGAGGAGGATTGGTGAGCCATCTGGCGGTGAAAATAAGAAGCGTCGAGAAACGCGACAGCCTAATGTTTTTAATTTAATCTTTTCTTTGAAAATTTTCAAAAATTTCCATTACATTGAAATTCAAATTGAATCAACGATCTTCGAGTTAAATCATAAAAAATACATCCTTTTCCCTTAAAAATTATAAAAGAGGCCAATTCCACTCACCAGGATATCCCTCCGGAATCACAATCTCGGGTCCAACCTTCACGTCATGCCGGTAGCGATGCATCAGCAGCGTAGCCGTGACTCTCAGCGATCTTTGCTGTTGTTTGTACAACAATATCGGTCTTCCACCGGCACCTTCCACCCTCACCACCCTAGGTAACGAGAATCTGTCGAGGAACTCGCGCAGCGGCATGAATCCGGCCCCCGAACCCGCAGCTTCCGCGGTCGCCTCTCGAGAACTGGGCAACGAGTCGTCTCCGGTTCCGGTCGCCTCACCACTCGACAGTGTCGAAAATTCACCACTCGACGACATCGTCCCGCGATATCCACGATTTCATAGACACCAGATTCACGGTGAACGGTAAATCGAATGAATCGGCAATTCCACCGCGAGTTTCTTGCGGTTCGTCGTCTTCTGCAAAAGAAAAATAGAAGATGCGCGTCAATGCAACAATGCGTGGCGGACAAACTTCAACGCTTTGACACCAATGCTCCGATCCAAACAATGCGAAAGAGAGATAAGAAGGGAGAAAAGCGTGGAAGAGCATCCAGATGGAATTCGTTATTCCACGAAGCGTGGCAGCCTTGACAGTGATTCGCCCGCGGCGAAGTGTGCCTCGGCTAACGAGTGATTATGCTCTCAGGGCCGGCTTGACGATGATGGTGATGATGATGATGAATTTATGACGATGATTATCTCTGGTGGCGTACCGCTGTGTCGCCACCGGTGTTTGTCTTTCAGACGAGGAGACAGTGGAGAGAGTAGGGGAATAGAAAAAAAAAAAAAAGAAAAGCAAGAAAAATGAAAAATAAATGGAATCTAGTCCGTTGAGTAGTAGTTGCAATCCGTTAAGGATAAGTTCTTGTGGATGACTGTTTGACGCGAGACAAATTAGAACGAGGAATTAGCTCTAAGTGATTGGGATAAAGAAGGATTGATAGCGAGAGTTTTAATTGGATCACTGGACAGATGATTTCTCTAGAAATAGATTTTGTCTTTTCTGCCTTTAGAAATTGCAGTAATAGGATGAGATGATTGCTCTTGTTCAAAGTTTTTCAGCATACGATTTTCATGACTAAATAAGTCAATTTGTAATCTGTACTAACCTGGAAATTGTTTCAATTTTCTTTAACCTTAATCTCAAACTCATATATAAAAGTACGTGTATAAATAACTTTTTTTCTATATTAAGAATTTCAATTTCTTCCTGACATATATATATATATATATATAAGTAATGAATGTCTAGAAAATTTTAAGTTAGTTTTCGATCTAGAATCGGCTTATTAAATTTTTCCAATTTTCTGTAATGTCTCAACCTCAAATTCATAATAAACAACTTTTCTTCTATATTAAGATTTCTATATTAAGAAATTTCAATTTTCTCTTATGCAAGTGACGGAGGTCTCTGGAAAAATTTTTAGGTTAGGTTTTCGATCTAGCTCGAGCAATCTTCTTTCACAAAATTGGATTTAATAACGATTTCTCTCGATATCGTAACATATACGCGTCTTAAATTCACAACTGTAATCATATAGTTAGTGATAAAACGCCAATTTTAATCTTCTTCTTCTCCATCATATTATAGAGTACATTTCATCGACGCGTTTGCGAAAGTGAAATAATATCGAAATAAGAATAACTTTCCATCGCGTGATGTGGATGATTGATTATATACACAAGCATCGTAGCTTGAACGAAATGTTTTCTAGGAATTCAAATTGTTTATAGTTTACAAATGTGGTATATAATATTGTGGCAACAAAATTATTACCTAGCTTGAAGAATTTTATTAATGTATACATTACAAAAATTACATAATTCTACTATTCCTTTTACGAAATTTTCGTACGCATTAACAGCTCAATTTATCCGCAACTCTTCTACGACGTTTGCCAACATAATTACAAGGTTACGTTGACAAAAACCTGATGACAATTCGCAGTTTCTTTCTTCGGGTCGTGGAAAAGAAAAAAAAACGTATAAATTGCCTAGTTAGCACTCGGTCATAACAAATGTGATTTTTGCGTTTGACGACTCGATAATTTGCCGTGTCAGTTTAAATCATACCGTTATAAATCAACCCCCATGCTTCTTGTTACTTGTTATTTGATGCTCGTCGCGTATATACTTTACCGGTGGCTTGACGCGAGCACGAGTTACGGAAAGATGCGTTTTTAATCGGTCCAAAGACAATTCATTTTCCACATCATTTGAAGAATATTCGTAAAAATCGATAATTATCCACAGAACAGAGTACTTTAAATGATATTTAATACTGGTTAACGATTAAAGATTACGTAATATCGCCCTTAGACAGAAGTGCTGATTATCTTATTTTCTAAGTATTTCTTTCTTTCTTAACGAATTGTAAATTATTTTTAGAAAAAAAATTAAATCAAATTAAAATTCAAATACACGAATAAATATATATTCATTCTCAATTTAAATGTAGCGATTGATCTAACCAAAAAAAAAAAAAAAGAAAAAAAGAACCTTCAAAATGAAACACTGTCCAATCCCAAAAACTTCTTCCTTGTCATTAGGCAATTAAAAACCCTCCATTACGATACGATTACACCGGCTCGGAAGCAAAATAATCGAGAGGATCGAAAGGACTGGTGGCAGGTTTGTCTCTGGTTTTTCATGGAAGAAGAAGGAGGGGGAGGGGGGGGGGGGAAAGAGGAGGAAAAAAATGCTCGCTCATGCGTATTCATGACCGGAACCATGGATAATGCCCGGGGTCTCTGTACATCATATCTTACACACAGCTGGAATATTAATTCCTGTCATTCGTATGCGATGCGAGTGCGATGTTGCTGTGAACGCGCGAGCGCAGCTCTGAAGAATGGTACAGGTGCAAGTCACCTAGGAGAAACTTGTGTTTTTTGCGGTTATGGAGGAGAATGATCGAAAGGGTAGGACGTTACCTTGGAATTTAAATTGGCTCGATCGAAGTAATTATTTCAACCTAATTTGGATCAATTAACGGACGGATAAAAGTTCGATGAGCGAAGAAAAAAGAAAAAGTTGATTTCTCTGTTGATAGATTTTATGGGAGGAATTGAATTTAGCCATTTTGTTTTTTCGTCATTTAAAAATCTCATACTTTTCTTTATTTTTATCTTTTAATCTTGATGCAAGTCAGTGAGTGAATTTTTTTTTTTCTTCTTTTTTTTTTTTTTTTTGTATTCCATTAAATGATTGTGTTGTTAACATCACGTATCTCATTATTTATGAAATTATTACGATAATATTATTATCGGACGATCATTGATATTATTGGATAACGAGATATCCAATTTTAATTTATAATGGCAAATTACTGGTAAATTATTTGCCTCGTGAATAAATGGTTTCGGGGTAAACTTTTTTCCTTTTTCGTTTCGAAAGTGTACGAAGATCGCGTGTGTTTCTTTAAATAGAATCGTATAATTTTCATCGCGTTAATCGATGCGCAAAGTTTGATCTGCACGTTTAGGTGTTCAATATGCCAGCCGTGTTCGGTCAAACGTTTTGTATTCTATCACGGAAAACAGTTTTGGCTCCCGCTCGATCTTTTGTTTTAAGATGTTCGATTCAATTTATGCGACTCTTTGTTCGACGTCCACGAACTCGTAAATCGAACGTGTAACGTTGGAACGTTCGTTATGATAATCACTTTCAGTGGCTCGAATTTCTCAAAAATATTTAAATTTTATTTCCCATTCAAATTCTAAGACGATCGAATCCGTCATCTATTATCCTAAAACATTCAAAACTTATTCGTTTGTTATTCATACATACATTTCTCAAATCAACGCCATTTTCAATAATCCATTATCCCAAATTCGCAAAAAATCCCATCATTCCATCTCTCCAATTTTAATTTTAAAAAGTTAAAAAATTTTGTTCGTAAGATCGAGGCCACTCCACAGAATTCGAACGATTTTCCCCGAGGCATGGCCGAGAAATCAAAACGACAGCGACCTCTCGATTTCTGTTCGATTCCGGGCAGAAACTGGAGGCTGTCGTCCTCGAGAGGCAGAACTTTCGAAACGCTTTCGTTCCCTCGCGAGATCGTTCGAACAGCGCGCCATTTCACTTTCGAACGTGTTCCTTTTTTGGTGTCGGGTGTGTAGGACCGGTGTAATCGGCCGGCGTTTGTCATCTGTAACACGCGTAATCGTCGACTCGAGCCGCGCCACCGGTTAAAATTGCCGTGAAGCGCGAATCAAATTAATTATAGGAAGGCGTTCATTACACACCCGTAATTAATACTTTCACGATCGATGTCTCGCTTCGGTAGCTTCTTTCCTTTGACAAATTGCGTCACGGTTGTAGCTTGCTAATTTCAAGTATTGGAAATTTTATTATATACGATATCGTGTCCTCTTTTTTCGTCGATAATACCACGAGCAATTGTTTCGAGTGAAATTAGAAAGAAATTGCGGAAGGAAAATTTCTAGGGTTCCCTAGAAGTCTCCCTCCTTTTCCAACGATTTCATCAAAATATTTGAGACATATAATCTTCGATGAAATTAGGATTAAATTCTCTAGAAAGTTTAAAAAAAGAAAAAAAAATGTTAACAAACCTCCGAGTCGCAACCGAATAAATGAATCGTTATTAATCTAGAGTCCCCTAGAAACTAACTTTCTTAAATTCTCTTCAAATTCAATAAATCCGAATAAAGATTAAAACAGAGATGAAAATCTGAAAATCCTCTCGTGCATATAATGATAAAGTCAACGATACACAGCTGCGAAATGAGCGATCAACGAGGCCGACGATGGAAAATAGGCCTTCTCCGCGCATAATAGATCGAGTCAAGTGAAAGTCCCAGATTTAGCAATTTATCCATTAACGGCGTACGCCGTCCTGGAAACGCTCGTTGCTTTTCGCGTGGCGGTATTCCTCCGTGTCCCGTGACGTAATTCGACGCGGTGCACGCGTCTGCGTGCGGTTCCACGCCCGAGCTGATTTTAATTAAGAGCGGCAGGAAAGTCGGCAGTGCATCGTCTTACTTTCTTGCGATTCGTAATTAACGAGCTTGCGCTCGTGCGCCTGCCGAGAAGAGAAAGGAGAGGGGGAAGGGTGGGGGGAAAGAGAAAGAAAAATACGTACGTTTGTACGGTTATTTTTAGATCATGGACCATCTGAATTTATGATCGCGATGCGTTTGATATTGTGCAACCGAGTTCCGTGAGAACGAAACCACCGGCGTGATTGCGGCCTTTTAGCGCGTTTACCCGTCCCTTCCATCGCAATTCACCGCCTGTTTGCTCGATATCTCTCCACTAGTAGGTTTTTCGTTTCTTGTGTATAACAATTTTAAAAAAAAAAAAAGAAAGAAAGAAAAACGAGTTAATTATTTAACAATATTCTAAATTTTGTTCATTTTCTTGTGTACTGTACGTTGGTGGAAAAATAAATTGGTGTGCGTTTAAGAAACAGATGTAAAATATTCGAAAAACAGTTTTACACGTTAGTTGGTTGTTCCAGTATTAAGAATGAGTAAGTAGGAAGGAATGGATTTTAAAATTTACTACGAGTTGGAAATGATGGCGATGAATCTTTTCCGCGTTAAAATTCAGGTTATTAGAATGCGATTAACATAGATAAAGATCGGTACTATGAACTACCGAGTTCGTAGAAAATATCTATTCTACTTCTTGAAAGGAAATTTCTTTAATTACATTCGAACGAATATATAATATATATAAAGTTATTAAACATAATGAATAAATTTTCATTTGTCCATAGATTCTTATATTATTTCACAATACATACGTGTGTGAATATAAATATTAGCAAAAATACTCTTCTCGATTTCAGATAATAAATAATCTACGACTCGTAAAACGAACAAATCGCCTACAAAGTCAATTATATGTCAGAAACTATTAATTTTCAACCCATTGGTCTTGCAAGATGGAGTGATTCATATGAACAGCATTCTCAGGGAGCCAATAGGCCAACGATTAAACAGTAAACAATCCTTCATTTGCATAATATTATTAAAACGAAAAACAATATTAGTCGATTCGATTCGAAATTTTTTTTTTTTTCAATCGGCCGATCTTGATTTTTTTCAAAAAATCGCCCCGAACCCGTCTCGTACCACTAGAAAATTCCAAATAAACTCGTCAACAGGCTTTGATAAAGTGTTATCCTTATAAAAGTGCAAACTTCGCTGCGCAAGCGTTTCTCATAAAAGACGAGTTAACTCGTTCTGGCTGGTTGAGAAGTTAAAAGCCGTCGTGCAACATTTTTGCCGCCGTATAAATATACACATAGACCAGCTTGTTTACTTTTCTTTTGCCAAGCGGAGTAAGTATATATTTTTTTTCTTTTTTAAAGAGTATTCTCGTCATAATGCGAATGCCTTCGATAATCTTTCTCATTTGCACTGATTAAAGTTGTAGCTTTTATACATTTTTTTCAATAAAAATTTCAAATTGTTTTTATTTACGTTAAATAATAATAAATAATATCTATAATGTAAATCTTGATAAAACTAAATATTAATTTTGTAACAAAAAATCTGAATCCAATTATGTAGTAGTTAAAAATTCTGTAAGATGTCACTTGTCAAGTCACTAACATTATTAATTAATAAAAAATTCTTGTGAAAGAGAGTCAAATAAATTTAGAATAATTTACACTATTTGTTATTATAACCACGTAAGACTTTTACTTTCAATTATAAAGATTCCATTCAACTGAAAGTATCACAAATGTTTTTTCTAAACAACACCAATCTTTTTATCAAATATAAACTCTATCCAATACGATCACGAGCAATATTTTCTCACCTAGTTACACAACACAATTCCTTCGATTCCAATTTCCTTACTCCCGCCATTCGCTCTCACGACCACAAGAATAACACCAATTTGCCCACGGTCAACATTTTATGTAGCTCATGTTTACCAAGTACATCCCTCTTGCGCCAATACCAATTCGTCCCGAGATTGCCTAGCACGGCAAAATAACGCGGTCCTTTGATACGAATTGCGAAACAACACGTCGATCAATCGTTTCTTCGATTTACCGAGACGGATACCAAATACCATCTATCCCATCTCGTTTTCATCGAATGTTCCAATAGCACACTTCAGTAGCCACTTCATGCACCAATTCTCGTCAAACGATCATCGAATAAATCGAAAAAAAGGAGAAGAGGAGAAGGGGGGAGAGGAGAGAAGAAGAAGAAACGAAAAACAAATAATAAGAAACAAGAAAAAAAACACTTGTATCTTTGCACCCACCTTTCTCGCCGCTCTCAGCCTCCTTCCAATAGGTAGAATCTCAAAAATCCCGTAAACGCGTGTGTATAACCTCTCTTAAGAGCCACGGAATCGAACGGATGCGCGGATCCTATCACGCATGCGGTTCACCTGCACCATACAACTCGCTACGGTTAGGAGCATGACCACGCACGAGAAAGGACGAAACGATGTTTTGATGAAAAACTTTCACCCGGATCCTCTCTATCACCGACGACGATCCTCTGTTCCGCCACACGAACCGAGTAACGATCAGAACCAATCGATCAACGATCAACGATAGACTGAACACGATCGGTCGACTTCTCGAAGGGTCGGGCGGCAGGAGGAGGGACGCGCAATCGAGCCATCGATCGATTCGAGACTTCGAGACGCGACGTAGAACAGCCCGACGCTAGCGGACGAGATCGTGCGACTAAAGCTCAACCGCGATCCGCGAGGACGCGCCAACGAACGACCGACCGTTACCCCCACCTCGACCCGGCTTCAAATAAACTGTATCGCGCAGACTCGGGGGCACACACCGACTCACGAGGATATCTCCTTCGGTAAGTGTCGAGTCTTTCCACTCCCTTTCTATGAACGTTGCTCCTGCCTTTTTCTTTTTCCTACGTTGATTTCTGTTTCCGGTTCCGCGCCAGATTTCCCGCTAAGCAAAACGGTGAACCTTCGAGGATATTCTTCCAATCGATTTTCCTCTCGATATGGTGCATAGTTCGGGTTGAATCGTAATAGGTTAGGATATCGCGCGGCGATGTATTGTATATTGCGTAATATGGTAATTTTGAACGTGTTTAAGAAATGTGAATGCGTTTGGATGAAGAATTGGGTGGATAGGTTAGTGATTTTTGTGGAGTGATGTGCAAGTGTTTTTGGGATTTAGTAGATTTTGTTTAAGATTTGAAGAATTCACGTCAGTGTTTGACGTGAAAAGTTGAATAGTGGTTTTAATATTAAATTCGAAGTGTTTAATTCGGACTCTGCATAAATTTTTGCATTTGCGTATTATTTTAATGGGAATGATAGAGTTTCCGTATAAAACAATGGGATACGATATTGTAAATACACATCGTCTGTTTCCACGAGTTCATATTTATATTCCCAGGTAATCATTATGGTACCAGTATAAATATGCACCTGCTTGTCAGATTCTAACTTTCTCTTGCAGGTTGTACTTTATATTCTTTCAATATTTAAACAATCTTTTCTAAATATCATGATTCGTGTATCATTTATATTAATCTTAAATAGCTTGTAAATTTTATTTAAATATGTGTAGGATATATATATAATTTTTATTTATGCAACTAATAGCTTATAGAATTTATAGGTTATGTATTTTTGCTTTAATGATAATGCTTAAATGTTTGTAAAGTTTTTATCTGATCATCATTTATCATTTATTAGTTTTAAAATTAATTCATAAAATTTAATTGATAATAATTATGTTTAAAAAAAAAACAATATTTTAACAATTTCTTTTTCACAAAATCGGGAAATGTCGTACGGGTTCTTTTTCTCCTTTCTCTTTCTAATATAAACTAAAAGATCTGATAGATCATTAAAATTATTACGATGCTTTTATACATATCATAAAATATGAAAATGTGTTCTCAAAATAATTTCTTTTCATCATTTTTCTAAACGGATATTGCACTATGAATAACTAGCTATGTCATTACACATTTAATTTATCATGCTTATGTACAAGTATTGCATATAAATTTAGTGATGCAAATTTAATAATGCATTAATACAATACATTTATTAAAAATAGGTAATTAAATATTAATGCGTTTTAGAAAAAGAAGCTACTATTTTATTCAAAATTATATGCTTGGTAATCGATTAATTATACAGACGTGGCAAAACTTGTAAATACAACTAGATAGCTAATAATAATTTTGTATGTAAACATAAACCTATAATAAAAATAAAATAAATAAATTCTTTAGTTTAAATTAAATTTGAAACTCAATTGTGCGAAAAATTTGAAAATTTTCCTTTTAAAGAAAATTCTATCGGTGAATAGTCTAGAATTTTTTGAAACGTTTTGAAAAACCTGAAGAACAGTAAAATTATTAGATATATATAATCGATCTATTTTATCTACAAAGGATTAACAATAAATGTTAATTTTGATAACAATAACATCGTGTATTAAGATTAATGTGTGAAAAAAAAAAGAGTTGATCGCAATAAGAAATCCAAGATAATCTCATTATAATTAATATATTACGATTAATAAAAATATTCGTTAAGCATCGATATACGTATTATGACTCTCTTCTCTATTATTTATGTGAGATTCATTGTTCATCCGCGAATATAAGCATTAAATATTAGCTTATATCCATCATCTTATTAATGTGAAATACCATGATTTAATCACTTTGTTCGCGGTCTAATTAACAACCGTCTATTATATAACCTATCCGTATAATTAACTTAAATTACTATATCGCAACTCAGTATTTCGCGATGAAACCGAGAAAGCTTCGATGTATTTGCATAGTTCGCATTTATCGAGATTAAAACAACGGGGCCATAATCTGAATACATTTCAATGGATGATGAGATATCATCGATGTTTTAATCAATTTCGATTAATCCAAACGTAACGTGGTCTCTCATATTCTTTTTTTTATTTTTCTATTAAAAAAGTTATTAGTTATACTTGAATGACTATTTTCATATTTGTATAACGCAATTATACTCATGATTTAATGATTTTTAAAAAATATAAATATATTTTTAAATTTATATATTTGATCTTTCATCATTGTAATTATTTTTCTCAGTATTAAAATGTTATTAATTATTAGTATCTATTAATCAATTTGATTTGTTGACATTGAGTTTTAGTAATTTTTTTTTTTCATTTTTTCTTAAATGCGTGTAATTAAAAAATAGAAAAAGAAAGATCTACAAAGTTATTACATTTATTAATAACAGAGAGAGTTCTTCCAATTATAACTTATTGGCCATAACTACTTCTCTATAATTTAATATTAATTTAATCGCGTCGCTACATATATAATTTAATATTTACATCTTTAAACGGTTCTCAAATCCTGTTCACCAGATGCTATTCGAACATATGGTGTGCCACTTTTCAGAAATCCCGAGGAACCGCTATGCAACGCGATGTTTACGATATCGACCTCGTAGTAAGTTTGTAATATAAGTATATGCTTTCAGGAGTCGTTTTTTTATCTTCGATGTGTATGGACAATTATCGAGCTTGCCGATGATTACATTATATCTTGACCTTCATCAAGCATGCCGTTGGATCATCAGCCTTCGGATAAATTGCTCTTACGTTCTCTAACTGATTAACAGTGAAAGTATTAGTTTCTGACTTGTGAGAAAATTCTTGAAATATAATTTTTTATTTGATTTGTTCGTTTTATATTTTATTAATTTAATTTAATTTAATTTAATTTAATTATATTTTTATAACTATTGTAAGATTTCATAAAATGTTCGATAAAATAGTCAGTTCTATGTTTAAAAATTATATTAAAATTATTAACATTTAAATACAACTAAATGATTAAAATTCTATTCTATACAAAATTTTGGTTGAAATTTTTACCACGTTGAGTAAATTTGAATTTCTTACAAGAACTGTCATCAAACTGTAAAATTTGGACAGTGTTAGAAACACGCTTACGTAACGTTAAATACATTATATAATGTAAATTTGATCATGCAAGTTTTTTTCTAACTTTCAGAGAGAATAGAAAAAAGTGGAAAAAATTTCCAATCAAGATTTTTTAAAATAATTAATCATATTCTCATTCGAGATATTTTAAACATTCATGAATATTAAAATTTGTCTTCAAGTCCATTCGATCAAGATTTAGATAGACAATAATGCGTGAATATATCCCGCCCATGATAGCAAAAACAGGTACCGTTAGCGGATTATTAATATTCATGATGTCAGCGATACGCTTGGGTATTGCGATACAAGGTTTCCTTGTACCTATTCATCGAACGTGTCTGTTTCTCGGAAAAACGAGCAACTGCGTATCGGTATGCAAGCAATAATGCAATACGATTGATCGTTGTGCAACGCTGCACCGCCATCGATACTGTTTCAAAGCGTGTATTAGCGCCGAGCGATCGAAAAATTCTAACAATCTTTACTCGCTTCTAGAAATTAAAAATTGTTATTATAAAATTTTCTGTATAAATATTGTTTTACAATTAATTTCCTCCCCTTTTTAATTTTTATTTTATTGCACGTACATATAGTATAAATCTATCTAATTCACCGTTTCATCACTTCCTCTTTCAAATTTCCCTCGTAATTATTTGTCTCTATTATACAAACGCACTCGCGCATGCGCGCACATAGTCAACATGGTGTCGAAAACGCTTTCACGTTCCAACACCTGCTAATTACTTCGGAACGCTGGGAATATTGATGGCAGTGTTTAGACGAGAAATTGTTACTCGACCGTCATTGTCATCTCCGTAATTACCGGTCACGGAATGATTATTGACTCGCCACGATGCTGATTATAACGACGGGCAGCGACAGTGTTCATTGCGTGCCGCCGGCCTATTAATACGTTTCTTTTGCGAGCGTGTTGACCGAGGTCATGGATGGAACAAAGAGAAACATCGACACTCTCATATACCACACCGCACCGTGGATCTTCATTTTGAATTATGCCTTATTGTGCCTCGTCTCGAATCGCGACTGGCATTGTGCTAAGGATACGTGGACGTGATTGTTTGCCTTTGACTCGAGTCACACCCTGGTAGGTTTTCTCACATTTTTTCAAAGTTTTTTCCTTCTTACCTTTTTATTCTTTGTAAGTCTTTCAACGAGGAAACATGTTGCGAGATATACTTTATTGCATAGCGTGAATATCTCGTGAAAAATTCGATGAACGCTTGATGATTGTGTGCATTGTTAGGTTATGTTCTCTCGACACGTTGTTGTTTTAAGATGTTCTTGATTGATGAAAGATGCGAATAGTGGCCAATACTACGTCTTATTTCCTTTGATTTTTATTTTGATCATTATTGATGCAGAGTTTATTAACATGGAAGATATTTTTAGTGACAGTTTTGAAATGAAGTTGAATAAAGATGAGGATTAAACGGATATAAAATATTTATAAAGCATTACAATTTTTAATATATATTTTATGAATGAGCTCTTTGAGAGATGTTGATTTCTTTTATGATAAACTCTTATTAATTCTTAATTATTTTAACAATATGAAAAATAAATATAAATAAATAAATAAATACATTTACATATTAATTTATTTATTATTTATTCACTTCATATTTATTCACTTTCTTATCAATTATTTCGTTTAATCTTAATTTTTCCTGATTATTTCACTTTTAATATACTTTTAACATTTATTACGATATTATGAAATATATCATAATATCAAATCCATATCTACGATAATTTGATGTTTTCCCACAGTTTTTCAATTATTACATCAGCCTTCCTTCCTTCTACTTATTTTTAAAATTATCATCTAAACGCTTCAAATACCTTCACAGAATTTTATCTTCGAAACCAACGAAAGAATTTATTACCAGTGATCCTCGGCTCACGTCGATCGATCCAAGAATCACATCGCATTAATTACTATACGCATACCTGCATATGCGTCGTTATCGCTTGGCCATTCGAGTGAAAGTTTCCGCGAATCTCTAATCTTCGTTGGCGCGAAACCGGCGTTAATCATCGACGATTCACGTCCGGTTGAACGTGCTAATGCGGACGTTATCAAAGCGTGTTAACTTGCGTGACATCCTGAGCGACGGAGCAGGCCTGTCGGTTTTTCCGCGCCGCTCAAAGGGACGAGTGTCATCAAACATGCCGTACGTACTTCCCCGACTTTGTACACCGCTCACGAGCCGAGTACGCGAGTACATGCGTGTACTCTTACCGCATACACGCGTGAACAGGCCTTAAGCCAGTGGTTCTCATCCACCATAATCAGATTTGTCATTCCTATAAAAAAATTCCTTGATCTGTTCGTTGCAATTGAACTTTTAATGAATATTAATTTATAAATGATCGAAATTGTTTTAAGTTATATAGGAATAATATATTATTTCAGATTACGATTTAGAATAAGTCAAGAACAGATTAGATCTTCTCATTGTTTCGTAATATCATTAAAAATCTTTTTTTTTTTTAAAGAATTTTTTTTATTTTAAAGTTTGAAATTTTGGCACTTTATTAATTAACCGCATTTAAATTTTGAACTTTTCCCGCGAAAGAAAAAAATTTTTCCAATAATTTCAAAAAGCATTGAGAGTCATCACGTCAATTTCTTCCTCGATCATTTTCTTCAAACAAGCGTTCAATGTCAAATTGCACACCTTTGACAATCTTTAATACGGTAAAAAGATAAAAACGAAATAATAAATGAAGTGTCATTATTTTACGTTTATTACCTATATATACTAAAAACGTTATTATCTTCTGAAAGAGGGAAAAAGAAAAAAAAAAGGGCTTCATATATTCTCAAACGATATCATTCTTCATCCAGGAATAAGTAACATTATCAATAACTCATTGATTCATAAATTCAGCGAAACACCTTCTCGAAATAATTTCACAACTTAATCGCTTCTATCAACTAACCGGCCGTCAAACAGCCGAGGAATAATGATTTTATTCACCCGCAGGGTCAATATATTCCTCGTGGCGAGTGTGGCGCGGCCATTGCTGGCACACGGAAGCATATCGTCTATCGCTTCGAGACGGATGACCTTCCGAAGGTCAGCGCCTTTACTCCTCGAAGCCATGCAGTTACACGCAATAGTATTCCGTCAATAATCCTGTACGTGTAACAAATTGAATGCATTTAATTAAGTTTCGGATGGCACGGCAACATCGGTGGAATAATATAAAGTATGGACGGATGGTAATGCAAATAATTAACAACTGTTGAAGGTACGAAGGGATTTATTTATGTTCCTAGGGGTTCTTGCGAGAAATGAAGAAAGGTTTAGCTTTAAATGTTTCCAGTTATTTTTGCCTGATGAATGGGACAAGTTTAAGGGTAAAAAAAGGAAAGTGTATTTTTAATGTATTAATTGGAGATAGGTGGATTCGTGTTTAAATCGTTTACTATCGTTTCATAATGATTTTATTCCTTTTTTCTTTTTTTTCAATGATTAATTTAGTTTCGTAACTCCAAGTTTCCATGAGTTATCTCTCCTTAAAATTCAAGGATCTTCGAATGCAATTCTGTTTCAGAAAACAATACACTTTCGTGTATTCTTTGATTCTTTGTTCAAAATAATAAAGCTATACTGAAAAAAGTACATTATCTAATTTTTATAAAACTACGAAATAAGATCTTCTTCTAAGATTCTTTTCTTTTTATTTAAATATAAGATGAAAAAGTTTTTTAATGCAACTCCATCAATCCTATTCGCTAATTGCCTCGTACCAACGTCTAATATATCGTTCACAGGTTGCAATTATCAAAAATGATCGGAATGATTGATCGAAATCTAGTTGTCAATCCGTCCTTGCAAAAGTTCCCTCAGCTAGCCTCAAGGATGACCAGTAATAATTCTTCAGGAACTAGAATATCGATCCTGCCGTCTAACGACGTGTCATTCCAAACAGATCCCACGATCCCGATGCTTACGTAAATAATTGCCGTTCCAGTTTGTTTGCACGTCGCATTTGCACGCTTAAGACTTGATTGCATCGTGGTTGACGGCGACGTTACGGAACGCAGCCCTACTTCATGTTAAGAGGCAATCCTATCCAGAAGTGTCGACCTTGTTTTGCAACAATGTTATGGATGTACCACATGTTATTACAAGCAATGTGCAATGTCGAAAAGAGAATGGTAATAGTTATCGTGGCCATGCCAGGAACACGACGTTCCTTCTTTTCTGGTACAATATTTGTTTTATTAATGCCATGTGCACGTGATAATAAATTTTGAATTTATCCTTAACATTTTTACAAATTAAGTTATAAATTATAAACATATAGACAAATTCTTTTACTTGCTACAATAATTGAATATCGTACCGGGGAATGAAATCCAATTCCAATTAATTTCTCCTCGATTGAATGGCAACTTGTTTATAATTTTAAAATCGCTATCCTTAAAAATAACTCTCATTGTTCTTCTTCTCCAACAACATCATTCCTCATCAGTCGAATCGTCATGCCATCTACCAATGAAACACGCGCTGACTCTCAATCACCTTGGTCCGCATTGAGAAGGAAAAAGGGGGGGGAAAAAAAAAAAGGAATCGTTCGAGACGCGCCATGGTGGTCATTATCATCATCAATCGACCTATAAATAATCATGAGCCTCTGTAAAGGGAAGCGACTTAATGAAAATGTCAATGACGCCGCAAAAACGATCCTCTTCGTTCTGGCACGGCGTTATTCAATGCTCGTACGCGGCCGCGGTCACAGGCGCGACTTCTTGTCTCTCGGTTGCACGCTCTTTTTCACTCGGTTGATTTGCGCGCTGAGCATTATTCGTCATTGCGGACACCTCGATCACACCCTGCACAAAGAAACTTGCCATTCCGCGTTTCGAGGCCGGAGAATCGCGGTTTCGATCCTCATTTCCGTTTCGTCCGCCAGATGGCGCGATTTTTCCGCCCGCCATATTGCCATCCGCCGCTCGCCCACCGTTTTCCCCTCTGCTTTTTATCCCGTTCTTTCGGTTCTTCATTTCGTTCATTCTTTTCCTCCCTTATTGCTTTATTATTGTTTTCGCTCGATACGTTTAAAATGAATTGGAAGCGTGAATCTCGTTATTTACAACTCTTTTTTACTGCGGTTAGGAATTATTCGAGGAAAGATGTCGGGTTTGATTAGAAATAATCTAAAGTTGGCTTAACTAAAACGATAACCGTTAATGAAATTAGGAAAATAATTATTGTCGATGATAGGAAAATTTTGTTCCTTTCGATCATCGCGTGTTGATTGAAGAACGAGGTAGGATTCAATTCACAGTTTGAAAAATTATAGGGATGCTTCCGTACTTATTAACTTGGCAATAATTAACTCGTAGAATTTTATAATTTATCAATTAAAAATCTCTCTCGTGACACGTTCTACGTTCTTTTATAATCTGTAATTACTAGGTATTTAAAAACACTTGCCAATTTACTCGTAACAGGGACGAGACAAGCGGGAAGCGAGTTATATTCGTAGCGGTACTTCTAGTTCTCGCCACCATGGGGTTTCTAGCGTGACAACGGAACCTCTGTTTCTTGCGAGTCCTATATCCAATCATATATCCATTAGAATAAATCATTTCCTTATAAGTTAAATAAAAAAAAAAAAAAAAAAAAATAACACGTTTACGTCTTAAGACAAGAAATTAAATTATTACAATAATTGCAAAAATGATAAGATTATATTTTCAATACGAATCAAAAAATTGTTCCTTCCATCTTTTTATAATGTTTCAATATCATCTCGTCATTTTCTCCATCTTATTATCATTACATAGTAAATCCTTTCAATTAACATTACACTCCAGTTTCAAAAAAAAAAGTTTAAAAATGAGAAACTTCAACTCTCTGTTAATCCCTGTAAACAACTTCCTTCAATCGATCATTTTAAATTCAACATCATCAAACAATTTCTTACCATCGTTCTCATCGAAATCCTTTAATTAAACATCCAGTTCCTCCTCCTCCTCCTCCTCCTCCTCCTCTTCCTCCTTCTCAAGAGGAAAATCTAAAAAAACGTCGAAGCCGTCCGTGCACTCGAAACGTGCAATCCACGTTCAAACCTTTCCTCTCGAAACCTCGTCTTCGTCGCAAGAAGCAGAAGCCTCCCGTGTGGTCCCCGTGCTTTTTTTTACAGCCCTGGTACTGGTTCACCGGCTCCACCAACTTCGTTAGTCCAAGGCTGCAGGCGATACGGCCTTGTATTCGTTCCTAGCTCGTAAATTGCGCAACAACTTCGTCCAAAGCCTCGATCGTTATTACTAATATTTAACACTGCAAACAGTTGGACGGAGCGCGAGAAACCAAGCGAGAGAATCGTTCGCCATTTAAGGGCGTACCGTCGCGACGTGGCGCGGTAACCCACAGAAATTAACGCTTTGCAACGAAATAAACGTCGAAACGCAGATTTACTCTGGCCTTCGCGCGCCAGTATTACACGTGCACACGTTTAAACTTGTTAAGTGTTACTTTAACACACACACACACACACATACAGAGAGAGAGAGAGAGAGAGAATGCATACCAAATACGTGAGTCATTTCACGGTGTGGCTACTTTGTTTTCTGCTTTAACGCGCCCTCTATCGTCGCAAAAAGCCTCTATCGCGGCCGGGCTGATAAGTTACTCTTCTAAGAGCCACTACTTTCGAGCCTCGTTTCTTTCTTTTCTTGCGGATAGAATTGAAACGAGGCGAGGCCCTCGCCTACGGGAAACAATGATGATTTTTATCACGGCTGCACGCTTTTAACGCGACAGCCGAGGATGGTGATTGAGTCGATGAACCTGGCGACCGTGAGATACCGGCGTTTTAGGTTAGGTTGTTAAGCGATCGTTTTCTTGTTGTAATTTCAATGTGTAATTTCGCGAGTATTTGGAATCCGAATCTATGTCGGAGATCGAGTTGATTTGATTGTTGATTATTGCGTTGAGCGTGGGTGATTGAATTAAAAGTGAAGTGAAAAAGAGTAATTGGGTATATTAGTGCAGAGTATAATGAGAGATTTATATGGAATTATTGAAACTAAGAGAAGAGTGATTCAAGATTGATAATACATTAATAATTTATAAATTTTCCTTGTTGATTGGTAATAAAGATCTTTACTAATTAAAATGTTCATGAATTATAGTAAAGTAAAGGAATTCTTTATGGTTGATTGTTAGAATTTTTCCACAATATTATTCTTATTTTTTTTTAAAGGAATCTATCGATTTCGATTTTCTATATCTTTGTACTGTATATATTTGAACGTCTTTGAAACATGCACAATAAAATGCATTTTCAAAAATGGACGCCCATTTGCATAAGATATACCTATGTGAAATCAATGATCCAAACAATATGACGACTCTTTTGAAAGTTTTACCGGTATCATCTTGTCGCGTTTCTCGCAGAAATAAGTGCAGTCGAAGTTGATGCATAAATTAATCCAAGGTTAAGGAGTACGCTTGCACTCCAGATGCAAAATGAAATTTTAACAATTTATACAACTTATTGTATCTTTTAATATTAATCGTCTATATCTATTAATTTCAAGCAATTTGATAGGTTTTAAATCTTTTTAGTTTCGAGTATAACTTTTATTAAAAATTAACAAAATGTATTTTTTGTTGTAAAAAAAAGTATAAATAGATAAATGTATAAGATATCAGGGTACTAGTAATTAATAGTCACATAATGTTAATATTAATTTTGCCAAGATTTCATCTTCATAATTAAAAGAACAAAATATTGTTCCACATCGACAAAATTAATTTTACCACCAAATCATAAATTATGTTTCAAATATTTCTCTCTCTCTCTCTCTTATTATATATATTCTCTTTTTAATAAATATGCATGTTGAAATATCTTTTTGACATAACAGCGAACATAAAACGATGCAATTAATTCTTTTCAGTTACGACCACCCCGGTTGGACGAAGATAAATGTTTCAGAGAAAACATTACATAACAAGGCTCGCGTACACTGCTTTCGTCTCCATGCTTCTTAAAATACATTGTAAAATCGAGGACAACATTGTTAAACGGTAAACCCTGTTTTGCAAATGTTTACAATTACAATTTACAAATTGCCGAATTATTTGTAAATATTCGTAATTCAAAAAGTTTCTTAAATTTAATAAAAATATAAATCATATATACCCGTGGATTGAAATTTTATTAGTTGAAATTTCGAAAGTAAATTTTTGAAATACGAGACTAGCATTAAAAAGAAGAAGAAGAAGAAGAAGAAGAAGAAGAAACAAGTCTGAATTGCTACATCAGTATCGAACAACACGCTGTATAATAAAAAGGCGATACAAAGTTGCCTTGCTCCTCTTAACCATTCATAAATATTAAACTCTCAATTTCTCTCTTATAGCCATGTTCGCGCCATCTTGGGCCTCGAGAGCCGCGGTAAATTGTGCAACTCGCCGATGATACATCGAACGCGCATCTGGCCATGCATGTCCATACGCGCGGCCTCCAATCTTTGATCATTTGCCATTTTAAATTGTTTCTCACGTGATGATCGAAATTCTTTCCTCCTCTCAATAGTTCCATCGACTTCTCCTTTTATATCCCTCGGTTTAATCTTCATCTTTAAATAAGAATTGCAATTCCTTAAAGCAACTCCACTTTACTCCTTGCACCACTTTTTTCTTTTAAGTATATTTTATTGTAATTTGTGATTACAATAACGTGATAGATAAACTGAAGTTAACAACTAAATTAAGATATTACTTTTGAATTTACTTAAAAAAATATTTGTTAATCTATTAAATTACCTAACTTTCAAATCTTGTGAATTTTCTTTAATTTTGTGTAAGACACGTTTGCATACCAATTAACCAAGAATCAAATAAGAAATAAGAAGATAGGTTAAATCAGAATAAACAGATCAGAAAAATCGGGATGTTTAAGGGAAGGTACAAAGTGGTATTGGAAATGGTAAAATGTTAAATTGTAGAGATGTTGGGTTAGAATGAAGGATGAGCTATCGTTAATCTATCTTGTTGAAAGTGCACCACGTATAATATGCCGAAGCTAATAACCTAATCCAGCTTGTTATCTAATTACATACTCTAATCAATATTAATGACCCCGAGTACGAGATACTAATATCTACAAATATCCGGCCAATCTGTGGCAGACCCTTTGGTAACTACCAGTTTTATGAATCGATGTGGATCATCGGTTATTTCTTGGGTTAAAGATCTGCCGTTTCAAGAAGACCCCCCGAACAAATTTCCACGGTTATAATAAGAAAATACTTTTTCTCCCTGGATTTATTTAATAGAAACCCGTCTCTCAAAACGTTTTGCTCCTCTTCATTTCGCGATATTGTAAACGTATCATTACCTTGATTAAATCGGTGTGTGTGTAATATCGTGATAATTTTAATCTTTTCCCTTTTTGAATTACATTTATAATTACTTTTGTGTCGTTACATTTATTTCTTAATCATTTCTTCCCTCCTGTAGATCGAAATCTTTGTATATAATGATTATTATCATTGGTAGTAATTTATTCGCAATGAATTTAATGGCAGAATTAAACAAAGTGATAGAAAAATGTCTATCTCTGTCTCTTGCCCGGTCCAACAAATGGATCGATATATTTGCAACAAAGGTATCGATGCATCAAATCACTCTGCATGCAACGAATCCTTAACGGATCCTTTCAAGATTTTAATTTAATCCTTTTGCATCGTGTCTTTCGTTTCGCAAAAAAATTCAATTCCAATAAATGGAATTGCGTTAAAGAGATCATTGCGGTTCGTTAACAGATATGGTGAATTAAAATCGAATCGTTAGCGGATAATAGCGATCGCTGTCACTGGATGACAGTAAGAATTGCAGGGGAATTCGTTAGCGGATAATAATCGAGCCGGGTCGGTTAACGATTATGCAACAGCTATTATTCACTTTGGACGATTATGAAACAGATTGCAGAGCAAACTAAGCACGATAATTACTACGCGTAAAATATCATTTCCTTTCCGTACGATTTTAATTTCGATATTTAAGCCTGAACAGGCATTGCCTCACTTATTAAAATACGATGGAAGTCGTAAATTAATTTAATTATATATCTTAACATGTTTCTTGATCTCTCGGTTATTAGTGGGCTCGTAATAATCGGGGAAATAGAATACTTTCAATTGGGCCGACAAAGATA